CTACAAGAAAACTCCATAGAGATACTACTGTTACTCTAGATGATGTAATTTTTAGAGTTTGGATGTAAATAACTTTTTTGAACAGATTTCTGATCTTTTTCAGCTCAAGCTTCTAAAATTAGTTCATTTATGTTACGACTTTCCAAGAATTTTTTTTACAATCTACAGGGTGATTCAAAATTGGCGTCATTCCTCTGGACGTGTTGTCTGACGGTGTTTTAGGAGTACAGAAAAAATAGTTTCAAAAATGAATTGTTATTGAAAACTGCGAAATTTGCAAAAAACTTTATTACGAAAACGGCAACAATGTTTTTCAAGGTAATCTGCCTTATTAACATTATGCAAATAGCTGTGGCTTCGTAATTATTCAAAACTCCGGTAACCGTGGGTAAATAGAGAAAGGGACAATAAGATAGACAAGGATAAACGGTAAATTCAACAGGAATTGTTGAATGACCTATTTCGAAACGAATAGCCTCGAATTATTAATTTGTTTACAAATTACAAAAACGTACATTTGAGTCTGTAACTCCAAACAAGTGCCTGTGTAATCACCTTATTATGCACTCTTCTCGAGAAGCTTCTCGTATTCGGTTAATTAACTCCTGCTTCATTTATACCAGTGTTCAGCAATCGATTGGTTTAATGTGATCTTACATACGTGGTAGGAATGTAGCCGGTATTTATTTGGTGCTTTGGAAAGTGTCAGTGCTTGTGCAATGTTCTGAGGGCCCCTGAAAGGTTTTTCTGCAACCACGGCTCCAGTAGCAACTAATCGCCAAAAGAAGAAGTTTGATGCGCTGATGGAAAAGCTTCCTAAATGTAATTTGACCGGCCGTGAAAGCCTTCATAGTCTGACTTAATAACAAAGTTGACATTCGATTTTCAACTGTTAATATCTTCTAGAAGTTATCGAATAAAAAAATATGAATATTTTTCTCGTACCTTCCAAATCAGCGCATATTACCCCTTAAAAGGAATGACCAATTTTAAATCACCCTGTTTAACATAAATTTCATTTGCAATATTCCCATTGAAAGCCATCTATGCTGTCGGGACCATCACTGATCGGCAACATTTTCATTTCTTTACTCCATTGGCTTTGCGATTTGCCGCTATAAAATATTCTCTGCGCCCGTTTGGGTTCAGTTATTCTGCTTACTTTGGTGGGCTTCATTTAAACTTACGACCATTTTAATAGGAAAGGCTATTAAATGCATTTAATATACCTCGACCACAATTAGTGCACCTACATCTCGGCCATAAAGGCGGTCTTAACTATCTAAAACCTTGTAGGTTTTTATTAGGCAAGCTTCTGGGGTTTTACTATTGAAACTGCAATAACCTGAAGCGAAATGTAGCTACTAGGATATGCAAAAGTACATACTTTTTAAAACTATTTGTACTGTATGAGTTCTTTGAAGAGAATAAAGTCCTAATATTGTATGAACAATATTGTCCGAATCGTATGAAAAAAAAAGTGATTCGCATTCGCGCTAAGTTCGCTAATAATTACTAAACTCACATATACCTTGGAGCTTCAACCTCTAAAATCAATTGATACGATAAATGGAAAATAAAGCCACGAGTTGAAAATCTTCTCGGTCTAAAGTTTACCTAATCCCTAGTAAGTTAAAGCTACCGACGACCCCTATTACAATTGCTTAAGATCTTTCCATCCTAGGAAAATAAGGGATATTTGGCTTGCTAGCGACGAAATAGACTTAAAACAATACAAGTAGTGGCTTCGTGGATATTTTCCGGAATTAATAAAGCAATAGATACAATTTGAACAATGGTGCAGAATATCGATAAGGGGAAACAAATTTAAAGAAAGCTGCAGCGGCTTTGAAAGTAAGTAGAAAACACCCTAAAACACCTAAAGTATAAATAGCCACTTGAATTTAATAAATCTCAAACACGGTTTGATACAGTTATTTTATTTGTAACCTCAAATCAAAATATTTTGTCAGCCTGTTTAAACTCCTACTGCGTCACTACAAGAGCACATCAATGTTGCAAAACTCTTAAAAATACCCCAAAATAGAGGAGCAAAATTTCCACAGCAATAAAAACCCTAGACGGTATGTTCACAGTTCAATTTCTAAGAGAAATTCCGAGTAACCAAACAAATCCCATATTTTAGGGCTTTTGCTATTGGGGCTTTGTTACAAATCTCTCTTTTTATGTGCAGCGGTATTACAGCATGTGTTAAATAAGTAAGAGTAAGTATTGTATGTCGGTTCTTTACAGCTCCCTTAACACACACACACAGATCGTCCCACGCAGTTTCTTCCTTGCCACAACAAAAATATTATGTTGCATACAACGATCTAATATTTAAAAGTTTCTTTGCAAAAAATAGTCTGAGTTCCTTCGCATTAACGCAGCGCGATCCCCATTTTCGCTCCCTCTAGGGGTAAATTTTACTCCTGAACATTCAGCAGGATTGTTCACCTTAAGTCATTAGCATTTTACTTTTAACAGAACTTTTTGGCAATTAATTCGGCATTCTTTTTCCTTTAAATCCCGCCAGTGATTCGATTTTATAGAACCGTGGAGTATTGGATGGACTCCCAGGGAGTTTCAACTCACAACAAGACTATGCAATTATTGGAGAAAAAACGTCGGATTTAGTGCTCATTATTACACTCTGGGGTGTCCACGCCGGATAACTTTACGATCGACGCTGGTTTCGATGGATGTGTTTCGAAATTTACATGCAAATAAGGGACAAAACTTGCTGTATTTAACATATCGGTTTTAAAAGTCACCTGTAGAGTGTTTGTAAAAACGTTAACGCGGTAAATTGAGCAAATAATAGAAAATGCTTGTTTATATGTAGGTATGTGTAACCGGCAACATAAATTGATCGAGCAAGTTTAGTTAAGCCGATTTATTAATGAGTAGATCGATTAGTTTGTTACTTTAGGATCTTTATTAAGGGTTCTTAATCGAGTTGGAAAATGCTGTTTTCGTAATTTTTCTCTGAAATTATACTCTTCTTGTTTCTTAATTTGTTTGATTTGCCTTCAGTTGGTGCTATGTCTTATCAAACATTTTCAACATATTGCTTTTTAAGGGGCTTGAAAACTTCCGGTTAGCAATAAATGAGAGTTAGAAATAAAATGAGCAAAAACGTGACGGAAAACATGAAATGTTGGCACAATGTTGAACCTAAATGTCTGATATTCAAATTTCACTGACTGGGTCAAAACTACTCTAAATTCCTCACTCATGTTGTTATGACGAACTCTGTGGCTCAAATAGTCCTTGAGAAACTTCGAAAAAAGCAGCGTCATGTTTGAGTCGATTTTTCAACTCAAAAAAAAACACGCAAGTCTGAAATTTCTAGAAATCAAGACTTTTTGGAGAAAACTGCCAACATTTCCTTATCGATGGTGCACTTTCTAAAAAGGCCATTTAGTTCTCTCTGAAATCATGTCAATATGAACGTTCTTGCTCATTTTGCTTCATGGAAACGAACGAAAACGCGAAAGAAAACACGAAATGTTGGCACAATGTTGAATAAATGAGAGTTAGAAATAAATGAGCAAAAACGTGACGGAAAACATGAAATGTTGGCACAATGTTGAACCTAAATGTCTGATATTCAAATTTCACTGACTGGGTCAAAACTACTCGAATTTCCTCATTTATGTTGTTATGACTGAATCGAGTTTTCATATATCTATCCAACAACTCCAAAAGAACTCTCAACAATGGTTGTTGAGAAACTTTGAAAAAAGCAGCGTCATGTTTGTGTCGATCTTGCAACTAAAAAAAAAACGCTTAGTTCTCTCTGAAATCATGTCAAAATGAACGTTCTTGCTCACTTTGCTTCATGGAAACGAGCAAAAACGCGACGGAAAACACAAAAGTTTGGCGAAATCTTGCACCTAAATGTCTGATATTCAAATTTCGCTTTCTGGGTCAAAACTACTCGAATTTCCTCATTTATGTTGTTATGACTGAATCGAGTTTTCAATTATCTATCCAACAACTCCAAACGAACTCTCAACAATGGTTGTTGAGAACTTCGAAAAAAGCAGCGTCATGTTTGTGTCGATCTTGCAACTAAAAAAAACGCTTAGTTCTCTCTCAAATCATGTCAAAATGAACGTTCTTGCTCACTTTACGATTTTCAATTCTCTATCCAACGATGCCAAAAGGAACTCTGTGGCTCAAATGGTTCTTGAGAAACTTTGCAATAAAGCAGCGTCATGTTTGTGTCGTTTTTGCAACTCCAAAAAAAAGACGCAAATTTAAAATTTCTTGAAATCAACACTTTTTTGAGAAAACTGACAACATTTCCTTATCGATGGTGCACTTTCTAAAAAGAACATTTCATTCTCTCTGGAATGATGTAAAAGTGCGCGTTGTTGCTCATTTTGCTTCCGAGAAACGAGCAAAAACTGGACGGAAAACAATAAATTTTGCAATGATTTTGAAATTATGGAAAACAGTAACGTTCTGCTGTAGATTTTTGCCTCATTGGAACCCACCAAAAACCCACGTATTTTACCAGTAACAGCAAAGTTCAAGCAACGCGTGAAAATTGGAACCGTGACTATGACTTATTGGGGCTCTGAAGTGAATCGTGATGCGGCCAAACGTTTTTTTCTAATGCAATTTTCCGTGGAAAAATGAACAGTAACTTCTAAATGATCCTGAAACTGTGTCGACACAGAAAACTCATTAAAGCAGCAAACTTTGACCAAATCCATATATCTTATATATGACAGCAATATTCGTGCCACACTCCTAATAACGTATTCCGCACAAGCCTCAATTCCTACTTACAGCAAAGTCTGAACGGACCCTTTTTTTAAAACTTCCCCACAAAATATATCAAGTCATAATATCAAAGTGCTTAAATTTCACACGCATCCTGCTCAATCGCCCGGTGTGTTTGCTTTTCATTCTGTGCAGTTTTTTCGGTTTAAAACAGGAATCTAGTAAATCGGCGCCTGAGGTTCAATGAAAAATTCCTGTTGCAGTTTCGCACAATGTTTGGACTATGGCCAATGCTCAGGATGAGAATCTGCGACATTTTTCTATATTCGATGTTGATTGCTATTTGTTTGGAGGCGGCAGTTTTGGCGGATGTCGCTAACGATGTGCCGATGCCACCTCGGAAATCCCTAGAAGAAAATCCACAGGTAAGCCTCAACAAAATATCTTCAATGTTTCGATTTAGGGGCGACAAATCCGCGAAAAAGCGATTGTGGCACTATGGCACAAGGAAAACATTTTTCCTGTTTAGTTTCGTGATTTTAGTGGGAAAATCGAAATACTTAAATGGGTAGACAGAATGAGTTCGGCCCGCTATGTTTAAGAATATTTAAGAACCATATTTCTAAATGTTTACAGTTAGAAAACGATTATTCGAAGAGAGGATGGAAGACTGACTTACCCATGTGGGGTAAAAGAGGGTGGAGCAATCTGCATTCCGGGTGGGGCAAACGGGATTCGGACTCTGACGAAGAACTAGACGGTTACCCTTCGGGTATGGAAAAACGGGCTTGGCAAAGACTTCAAGTAAGTGAACTCCACGTTTTAATAACGCAAATGGACTCTTCATCGCGAATAAAACATTATTTTTGTGTTCCATTACTGAAATTTCCATTTGTTAGACACCGAACTTTAAAACCGGAAAATTTCATTAGGCGGGAATTATTCGGAAAAACATGCTCGGCAGTCATAAAGAATAGTACGGAGGGGTTCAAGTAGCGGGTTTTTATTCCTTAACTCGTGTTATGAACTGGCGGTTTAGTCTGGACAAAAAGAAAATTGTACGTTTACTTGGATAAATTGCTTTAATAAAACTCCGGCAAAGCGGTCTTTCGATATGAAGTATGAAAAGTGTATTAAAAGGTATTTATGCCTAAATGCCGGCAATCCTTGGAATTTTTCAATTTTTTTAGTTAACATAGTTAGAGTTAAATACTTCGAAATTGACGTCCATAAAAGTTCCCCACTTTTCATTGAGTCCGATCCATATAACACCGGCAAGAAGCAATTTTGACTTCTTCAATAGTAGTAAAAACATCAAATGTCCTTAGCCTGCAAAAACTTTTATTGTTAAGTAGATATATTCCAACATTTCTGCGAAAACTTCCATTCCAAAGTTGTTGAGTTGATAAAGAGAATACTCGGGTTTCTAGGGCGGATGGGGTAAACGATACATCCCAACCGAAGAAGACATGGTTATTCGTCAATTAGCAGCCGCTCTATCTGAAGACAATAACGAAAACACCATCGACTACTATCCAGACCAGGATTTTGATTCGTCGCACGAAGTTAACAAGCGAAACTGGAGAGGTTTTTCTGACGGATGGGGCAAGAGAAGCGACAAATGGGATAAATTCAGAGGTCAGTATTTCCATTAGAGTCAATAGGAGAACAATTGAATATCAAATATAACTTTCCCGATTGGAAGTTCGGTTCTATTAGACGAGTCAGTTAAGTGCCAAATTCATCTGAGCTCGATGGAAACTCACACAATGCGAAAGAACGGCAACTTTAATTAAAACCTCTATAAAATCAAAATCTGTAAAATTGATTCTCCGCAAAACTTGGAAATTGGGTTGACGACGTCTTGCGAATATTTTTTTCGCTTCTTTTTACCTAGACTCACGATTCATTGACTTTAATTAAAGTGTAAATTGGCGAAACATCACTGCTACTCTAAATCACAAAACTTATTCCATCAACGTAAGATCGAAAGTTTAATTTTGCAATTACTATGTCAATGTGGGTATTGCTAATAAATTATAATAAAGGCTTTCTTTGATATTGCTCTTTAGCAAGCAAACCAAAGCGAAGAAGCTTGAGCGATAGACGTGCTGTGCTAATTAACTGCACAAACAAAATATGATTTAATTTATTTCAAAGAACACGAAAAGTTCAACTGAACGGTTTGTGTAGAAACAATTGTCAGGTTTAATTTTCCGCAATCAACATAAAATTTGAAAATTGTTCAATTTAGTTGGAAAAATCTCTTAAAAAATTGAAAGTTGGCTCGAAGAAAATACCAAAAGAAATAATGAAAAGCTGGTTTTTAATCTATTTCCAAGCACGAATTGAATTACTTTATAAAGTATCAATCACCAGTTGCAAAAATAAAAAAGAAAATTCAATGCTCAAATCAAAACGATCCAGTTACATCGAACTGAAAGCAGCAGAAATATTATTAAGCTTTCAGAAATATCCAAGTTTATACGATAATATTGATTTAAATTAGCTGTTTGTACATGTTGTAGCATTGCTGTACAAATGCTAAAAGCAGAAACGTTGACAATATTTTTTTTAAATACCTTTTTTAGCTGGCGTCATAATGCATAAGTACCTACCTCACTGCTTAGGCAAGTTTATAACGAACTTAAGCTGTTAAATCAGTAAAATATTTAAAATTATTCTCGTAATTTTTGTGTTTTTTCGCTTGTTTGCAGGTTCGTGGGGTAAACGTCAGCCGGCTTGGAATAATCTGAAGGGCCTCTGGGGCAAACGCAGCGTCTCCGAATAAAATGTATTTCAGCGTTATCTCTTCCTTTACCGTTTTGTTTCCACTCGCTAACTGAAAACAAATACATAGAAACAAACGAAAATTCTACTCGTTATTTTCAATATAGAAAATTGTATGTTAATGGAATGTAATTCGATTCAGTTCAATTATAATCGTTGGACTTTCCTGGATCTAAACGAAGGGAAAATATATATTTTAGTTTTTCTTGCTAAAGCCCTAAACTTGAACTCGTTTTGAAAGTGCTACAAAAATATATTGATCCAGATTGAAGGTATTAAACTGATTCAACAGTTTCACATTCCAAATATCCACCAATGGTTAATGGAATTTAGGCTCCAGCCAATTCCTTCTACCCATTGAAATGTATTCATCTAACCCATTTTGGTAGCTGCATAATGTATTTTGGCTTTGCATTATAAAACAAGATGAAGCTCGGCTGTACATCAAAGTGCTGGACAGGAATTGTTGGATATGTTTAATTGATCCTAGTTTCCACGTCATACTGAAGAATGTCATTTGAGTTTTCGCTACTACTTAACTGTTCTTCTCCTACATTCTCTTTTATATAAGTAGATAGAAAATTTGCAACTACAATAAAACGTACTATTCCATACTTATGAAGACCATACTGTAACATTTGTAATTATACCTATATTTGTTTAATATAAACCTGATGATTATAGATTAGAGGCTAAGGTACTTTAAAATGGAAATAAATGATATAGAGTTAAGAATATAATATGTTGTGAAATAAATCAGTAAGAGCATCTGCCAGTCCTACTTAATTTGTGCTTTCTTTCCCACATTCGAACAAACCTAAATAAGTGGCCAATAGAATAAATAGAAGAAAAAACATCCAATTCAGTAGCAGTTATTCAGATGATTGGTAAGTGTTTTCTAGATAATCGATAACCTTTTATATACCTATATACAGAGCGATTCATTATTAAATATTACAAAATTGAGAGCTAAATTGAGCTGGAAAAGGGTGATTTTGTTGAGGATAAATATGAAGCTAAACAATATGACCAACTTGGAAACAATAGAAGCTGGGCATTCTATTTCCGATACTTCTGATGATCCGATATCGCTTCTATTGGTCAGATTTTTTTATGCATACGTCCGATTTCGTACGAAAAAGGGCTTTTGGACCTCGTATAAATCCATCCAGTTTCGATGATCCGCATTTGGTGCTTTACGAATTTACATGATTCATTATAGCACCCCTCTCTTTTATAGCGAATTTTTTTAATTAATTTTATGATTTTTTATTAATTTATTAAGAAAATGTTTAACAACTGTGTGATTTTATATCAGACATCAAATTTTTTACGACTTTCGGAATAATTTTTGGGAAGAAAAAGGAAACCAATTTGGAATATACCGTGGATTTACATTCATGTATACAGGGTGATTCAAAATTTGCGTCATTCCTTTTAAGGGATGATACAGGCTCCCTTGGGGATTACGAGAAAAACATTGAAAATTTTTTTTCCGAAAATTTCTAAAAGATATTAACAGTTGAAGATCGAATTTCAACTTTGTTATTAAGCATTATTTAGTAATTGTTCCATGTTTAATTGGCAGCATATTGGAATACTTAAGCATTTAAAAAAAAATTACGATCTTTGCTTCAAATTACGAAAATTTTTGATGTCAGAAAAGTTCTCTTCTACAATTTTTTGATGAAAAGTCACAACGGCAATGATATTTTTTGTCATCAACAGATAGTTACAAGTGGATAGCCCTTGTCAATAATAGCAATAATTTGTCAAACTGTGACTTACTTTGAATTTCCTTTCACGAATTTGCTGATTTGCGATTAGTTCAGGGGAAATGCTACAGTAACATAGCAGAAGCTGAAAGAACTCACGCCAACAAAGGGCGAAGAGAGTGGTTCCAGGAAGATAGTGGACGACTTCAAACAATAGATGTTCGGGTTCCAGACACAGACGAACAAGTATTGGACATAATCGAGTCAGGGCCTTCCAGGGGTACTCAGAGAACAATAACTGACACTTTCCAAGCACCAAATAAATACCGAGGAAAGGCTACATTCCTACCACGTTTGTACGATACACACAGCACAAGGAGATACAAATGGATCAGGAGTTAATTAACTGAATACGAGAAGCTGCTTGATAAGAGTGGATAATAAGGAGATTACACAGGCACTAGCTTGTTCGGAGTTAACCATTCAAATGTTTGGTGTTGTATGGTTTATTTCACAGACTAGTCACTTTATTTATAAACAGCAATATTCGACGTTATGAGGACAATAATTGACATTTCGAAAAAGTACGTTCCGTCATTCGACGATTCCTGTTGAATTTACCGTCTATCCTTGTCTGTCTTATTGTCACTCTGTATAATTCCATGGTTACCGGAGTTTTAAATAATTACGAAGCAACAGGTATTTGCGCAATGTTAATTAGGCAGGTTACCTTGAAAAACATTGCTGCCGTATTTCTGATATAGTTTTTTGCAAATTTGTCAGATTTTAATAACAATTAATTTATTTTATTATTTTCTCTGTACTCCTAAAAGACTGCCAGACAACACCTTCAGAGGAATGACGCCAATTTTGAATCACCCTGTATTATCGGAATATTTGTTTTGAACATACTACGTATATTCACCTGCACATATACACAATATGTGCATACCTAGAATATAAGTTTTATAGACTTTGATGAATATACATACATGTATGTTCCACGAACATTCATGTTACGAATTTTCACCCATGTATATTCCCAGGATATTCCCGCAACGTTCTGTATATTTTTTGAACATTCTGGGATATTCATAGAATGTCAAATGATATCTGGGTACTGGGCCCATCTTCAAGAAGGCGTAGCTCCGTTAGGGAGCATTTTTCAATACATGCTCATTTAAAAAAATTATATTATTTTTGAGAGCAGATTTCACTGTTTCAGTTTGGCCACCTAATTTCGGGACACCCTGTATCTGATATTTAAGCTGTGCTAACACCAGGAAGGAAAAATCGAGGGAAAAGGGAGTATATGCAGGAAGAAGAAATAATTGCTCCGAAATAGACGTGATAGGGCCAAGACTGACGGAATACGCTCATCCATCAAGCACAGGATAGCGACCAATTTGATGTAATTGTCGCCAACCTCAACAGAGACGGTACCTAAAAGGAGGAAACTGCACTATTTAAAAAAAATGTTCATTCTTTAAACTACAGCAATCAGGAATTCCAATATAAAAATAGTATTTTATGATTTTAGAGTGGTAATCTTTAAATATTCAAGAAACGAGTACCATATTTCTAATTTTTTTTAAATTATTAAGTAAGTATAAGTTTAAAGTATCAATAAATCAGTAAGTGTCCAGATAAAGCGCAAAACTGAATATAGATATTATTATTTCATATGCTAAGATTAGTAGCTAGCAGTCTTAGAGATAACATCTAAAGTCTTGGGACGCTCCATTGCTCTTGGAACCTTTCGAACAGTTTATTTTCTCAGCTAAAGTGAGTTCTAACAATATTATATGTTAATGATTTATGAGGATGTATTAATGTTATTTTATCTGCACTGTTGAGTCTAAAAAACCTTTAAAAGTCTAAAAATAAATTCATTTTAAAATTGATAACGGTTATATGCATAGGCCACCAGTAAAGCTATGTTCGCACAGTAGCAACGATGCCACTCCATTCTCAATTTCTTATGCATTTGGCTTAACTCGTTCACTTAAAGGAAAACTGTCGGTTCTCTGCGTATCATTGGGTACTTAAGTACACGGCACAAATATTTGTTTGTCACTTAAGCGAGAAGTGTATCGCTTGATAAAAGACTATAGAAGCATGATGATTTAAAGTGTTTCTTCATTTACTTTGAAATTACAATAACTTTTTTGTTTTTAATTCATTCATTCATTAACTAAAAATTTATCTGTGTTTATTTTATTGTTTATACTTTGTTTTCAGTGTTTTAGTCAAGCAGAAAATTATTAACTCAGCTGGAACCCAAAAATGCTAAAACCAAACCTGTTTTGCATAGAAAATGGCAACACCATAACCAATCGTTCAAGTTAGAATGTGAAACAATTTTAGTTAGTTGTACTTTTACAGCGCCCATATGAGGCTCACATTATTTTAATTAAGGGTTGCTCATTCGACTAAACAGGGTGTCTCTAGAAAAAGTGAGTGCGTTCGAATAGATACACATAGAGTGCATTTGAAACCAGCGATACGCAAATTGTTGCTCTGAGCGCGTTTTTCATTAGGTTCTTTCACTTATCTAAATAGGTTTATGTTACTAAAGTTCTGACAGCGGTGTCTATTCGCTTTAAATCATTTGAATCTAATGCGTTTGAAAAAAATGAATACCACTCGATGTTTACGGTGAAAATTGAAAATTTTAATGCAAAAATGAACGAAAATCAACGTGATAGTGTCAGGACACAGAGTAAGACAATTTTTACAATAGCTTGCCATTCTGTTTCATACAAAATTTGGGAAAGTACCCATGCAGAAATTTTGCAAAGTATAAATTTGAGGCTGGTTGATATTGTACCGTGGATGGCCGAGTATCAAACTCTTTCTTCAGCTTCCAACTTTTATTTACCTCGGTATAACTTTAAATGCGGAACAGGAACAAACTAACTTCAAAATTACCGTCAACTTCACAAACAATAACAAAAACACACGGAAAACTCGCTCTTCAGACTCGCGGGGTTTAACCTCTTCTGCACCCGGTCGTTGATGTCACTTTTTTTTCCACTTCAAATTTTTTTATGAACAGACATAATAAATATAATATGGTAGTTAAAAAAGTTTTTAATAAATTCCATTTAATTTTAGGTTGTAAAATACCGTGCACTTGTAATAATTCTAGAGTGTTTTTGCTACATTTGTGGTGAGTTTACTCTAAAAACACAGCGAAATGGATCTGTGGTGATTGGAAAGACTTACTTTTTTGTACCTTTAACTGCTTGTTTTTGCTTCTACAAGGAATTTTTAGATACCATGTTTTTAAGCTAAATTTTACTAAAATGGCAATAATCTACCAACGTCGCAAGTAAGAAAAAAAAACAATTTACGGTGCATATGCAGCCTATTAGGGTAGTTCTATTTAAAAAAATACAATTTGGCCTTGCCTCTCTTTTCTGAGACACTCTGTATCATATAAGATATTTGTTCGTCAACAACTTTTATATGAAACTATTTTTTGAAAGTTCAACACCAACGGAAATAATGGACTCTCTCGCACTAAAAACCCACCCTGTATGTATTATCAAAAGTTACTAGAACAGGAAAACTACTTATCAAAACACCCTGTATACGTATAGAGGAGAATTTTCCCGGTCAGCCGGACGTGTCAAATTTTTGGCATTTATTCTTGAAATGAGGTTAAGTTTAGTGTTTACAAGGTTTCGGTAGAGTTCTAATCTCGTTGCTCGTTTTACCGCTTTAAATCACTTGAAACACAATAAATTTGGACGTAAAATCGAAAATAATTTGTTCAAAACGTTCAGGAAAGTGTCGGTTTGGATCGTGCAACGGTGGATTAGCTCGGTGGACACGCGCAAGAGTCACAAGTGTTCAAAATACAAGAAATCCATACAAACCATGGCTGGATGTTTCCAAAATAGTTAAATTGTCAGCTGTTCGCGAGTGTTTCCTGACATAGTTTTATTTTTAAATGGGGTTATTAGCCATGTGCAAATTACAATGGGTGCAGTTGCATCGGTACTGCAATGGCACTGTGGCTCTTGCAGTTTAATCAATCCCACTGAACGTACGAAATGTATTAGATGTGGCAAATTGCGGCAGAGTTTCACGAACAAAGACCTTTTGGAAAAATCGAATTGTTTTGAAGCAGGTCAAAGCCGGAATTGTACAGTAATTAGACGATACAGAGCCACCAATACGCCTGTTCTGGATATAAACAGGTAGGTCAGTTAATGTTAATGACAATGTAATATATATGTTTTACATGGTCCTTCATTATTGAAAAATCAATACTTTGCACTGATGTAAATTGCTGTATGGTTTTAGGTGTATTGGCAAAAAGGACTGTTCGGTTTTGGTAAAGAACACCTTGATTAACACCTTAATATTTATAAGAAAACGGCAAGCACTTGTCGGCGGTAAGAGACAATTGCGTGTACATAAGTCCCAAAGTCTCCCCAATTTAAACTATAAAACATCTTGTGTTAAGTGCCAAGTCTCCTTTCAACAATCAACAGTATCCACATGTCTACTTTGTGATGACAATTTAGAAAACATGAACATTACTCAGTCACCATGTAAGATCTGTACAGTAGTAGGCCAACCGAATTACAAAAACTATGAGATTTTGAACTATGAAAGGTGCAAATGTCAGAAACCTTCGCCAGATCTGCTCTGTCTCTCCAATATCAGAAGCCTGAGCTGCTCTATTGACCAAAACATTAACTCTGACAAGCACTTGGACACTATTCAATTTAATAACATCCGAACAACGGCTAGTGGAATCAATGGAAGTAACCACCCGTCATCCAGTAATAATTACATGTGGGCTGTAAACAATTCAATGCCCTCCACCACCTGGACATGCAAAAGATGCACCTTGTTAAATAATGCCGATATATCAATGTGTGAAGCATGTGAGGCACCTTTCACCCCTGATTTTAATAGCAATGTTACTCCAAGTGTGATTATTAAGGTGAGAGTTACTCCATTCCCTTGTGTTATGGTTTGCCTTTGTAGAGAGAATGCACTTAACTACATCTAGCATTATGTGATCATTATTTGTGCTAAATTTCAGTTTGTTTTGGCTGCATTATGTTGTGCACCGCAATGTATAAAATGTACCATTTTTATTTTTCAAGCACACGCGAGAGCGTAATAGTGTATGATTTGGTTGCGGAAAATAAAACATTGTTTTTTTTTCGAATTAATTTGAAAGTGCCATATTTCGGTCAGAAGCGCCGATCAAAAAGAAGCACTTTTATCTACTGTTGATTTGTTTTACTTTCACGCACGAACTTGAACGTATCACTGGCATTATATTTTTCAAAGGATTTTCATTCAAAAGAAACCGACGTGCTTTTTTTATTTAATTACGTAGGTTTATCGACAACTATTATTATATAAGTACTTATACTTTGTAAATTACAACTTCGTTACGAGTTGTAATTTGAAATATTTGAAAATATGCAACTTGTACCCACATAGCAAAATTATATTCCCAGAATATACCTGGAATTCTATTCATTCATGTGATGCACATGCATATTCCTGGGACATACATGAGTTCCATTATGAACATTCCATGTATGTCCCAGGAATCTGTCAGAGTTAATACACTGAATGTTCATGGT